TAACATTATTACAAAAACGACATTTACACTCGTCACAACATTTTAGGCCTTCTTTAAAACAATCACCTTTTCGACTATCACAGTTTTTATCTGAACAAAAGATACTAAATGATTGCCGAACAGAATTGGTGTATCATTCGAAAATATCCTGGACCATCTGAAATTATAAGTCGTGTTTCTATGTTGCTGCTGTACCATATTCTGAGTTGATACATATGCACCTAGAATTTTGATAGTCAACTTTCATGAGACAAAATATTTTGAAAATCCCTCCACCCCATGAAAGAATACTCATTCTGGAGAAATTTCAACAATAGCCAAGATACATTGATCTTTTTGGGATAATTCGAATTCTTTCGGATTATTGTTGGTAATTTGAATTCTGAAGGTATAGGGCGAGTTTAAGGCTTATGATATTTGTCAATTCGCTGTGAACTTGTATCAGTTCCTTCTTTGGTTAGAGCTAATCTCGGAGCTAATGTACCTTCTTTAATTCGTTCTCTTATTGGTTGCAAAGACTGTTTTTCTTGAAATACAACCATAGCCATAGCATGTGTTGTTCGTTTTCCATCAATAGTTTCTTAGTTCAAATCAAAATTATCAATACTTGCCCGAATGTATTTGGGTACATAAATATCTTCTCTGTCGACGATTTCTTGTTTCGCTAACGAAGTTGTTATTTAACGGACTTCGTTATAAGAACAAGTAAGTCCAAGTGAGGATAGTGTGTCCAAAATGTGTTTGCTTGGAACGTGATGATACAAAAATGTAAACCCAGACCGACGTGAAGAACTTTTCCTATGAGACTTGTCGAAAAGCCCCAGTATGATATTACTTGGAATCACTGCTAATTTGCTAGTTTTCCCATATTGAGCCTGTAAAAATATAAGCAACAAACTACTTGAATCAAAGAATCTTCAACTGCAATATTTACCTCTGCAAATAACTTTGCATCTATAAGCCATGACTCAAAATATTTGGAAACTCATTCTGAAACTCATCTCTATTTATATATCATCTGGTGTTGAAAATCCACTCTTTGGTTTGAATTAATCCATTGCATCACGTATGACGGCAGCAGCTCTTAATATTATTTGAATTTCAGACATTTCTTTGGGAAGGGAAATATCCTCCTGAAAATCACAACCACTTGTTGAGGAGTTAGCTGAGTCTTCTTTTGATATTGCAGATGAAGTGGAAATCGCCTTTTTATTTTTGTGTGAATTTATGTTCCTCTTAGATATATAATGGCTATAACATGATTCATGATATTTCACATCAAATGCAAATATCAAATGTCATTTATATCCTTTGCAGCTTTCATAATATTATTAAGAGTGTCGCTTCCACTGCCAAAAAAGAGTATGTATTCATTATGCAGTAAAATGCTAAAAAATTACTTATTTCAAAGTAGGAACCATACACATTTTTTCATTACCTGTTTGAACAGATATCAAAATTTTCTTCGTTTTTGTTCCAGTACTACTGCAGATAAGGTACATTTTTCAGATATCAAATGTTTGTGATTTAAACCGAGTTCCAGAATAATTTGAGGGTCCAGCCATTTTGAAAGCTTGTGATTTGTGGCAGTGGTACTTTTTCTCTAGGTCACCATTCAAAATACTTTTTTTTTGCGACAGAATTTCTTTTAATCGATTGTCTTGTGTCCTCTCAGCACTTGATATTAGTGACAACTTATATAATACATGTATAATCCTTATATTTTAGGTCTTTGTACCACAGATTTGTCATCATCCCGCACAATTTTTCCACAAATAATGCACTCTATTGTCTCAGAGAATTTCTTATAAATATCGTTAACTTTAACTCGACGCATGTAGATATTACGCTGAATGCAGTTTACATTAAACTAATCCACCCTCGTCTTCCGGTGGCGCGTGCCGATATTGAGCGAGCAATAAAAAAAATCACTGTTGCCAATCTATACGAAATGGGAAAAAACTAATTATCTCAAAAACTTTTATCATATATGGGCTCCATTTGTTTCGCTATATGTATACAAAAATTTTCGAAAATAAAAAAGTTTCTCGATTGGTGCAAATTGTAATGCATAAATTTTAGATTCCATGCTCTCTTGATTTTTGAAAAATGAAAGAAGCAAATTTCATGGAATCCATCGGTACTGTTAGAAGCGCTATTGTGTCTAGTTCAATCTACAAAAAAAAACTCTTCGATATCTCTATTGGTTCCGAAGATATGACGGTGGAAACAAAAAAAAATACATTTTATTCAAAGTGCATTTTTTTCAGTTTTTTCTCATTTAAAAAGTTCCAGACCACAGAAAAATGTCGTAAAATACGATTTCATATACCTAGTGATATGGTTAACAAAACCTACCATGTCTGACCTGGTTCTACGTCAGAAAAAAAAAACGACACGATAGGGTCTCGAATTTACTACACTATAGAGGGATATTTCTCAGGTCAAAACGATGTAGGAGAAAATTACATATAAATGATTGGCTGCAGTTGCTTCGTTCCCAAAATACAGGATGTTGTAGTTGAATATTCATATTTGTTTTTTCAACTCGCCTACATTAGCTTGATATGTATGTATGATAGTATTTTTGTAACGCGGAATCTACGAACGTGATTTTGACCCACGTCAAAACGTTAAAATTTGATTGAAACTTCGCACTCTTATCAAGGATCCGATGACAATAGCACAATGGGCGATTTTTTTCCCGAATAAAATGGTGAATGATGTTCCGCCACCAAAAATTTAAAATGGTCCTCCAACAAAAATTCAAGTTTGATTTTTTCCGAATTACTCTACATCTATGACTCTACAATGATTTATTTTATATCCAGCGACAGACGGTAGTGTCTTGCACCGAACACTAGTATCAAATGAAGTTTCCGGTAACATAATCCAAGGAAGGCAATAGGCGCGCAAATTCCCCACTTTCACCTCCACAACATAATAAATATATAGAAAATGTTACCCGTTATCAGTATTTTCTATGTTGTGTATAATACGGTATAATTTAGGTAGGTAGTTATATCAACACACTTTTATTATTTTATTTTCTAATCCTATTTAGTTTGGCTATTTACCTATAAAAGCGTGTTCCTTTAGTTTTATTCATTATTCCTAACTATAACTATCGAAATGATATAAAATATGTTTTTATATATTCTTATTAGTTAATAAGTCGCTATAGTGAGCAATCAGTGGCGGACTAAGACGTTTCGCAGACTGAGGCACAATGTATATTCCAGCGCCCGGAATAATTCCTTAAGAATTTCAAAATTTTATGAAAATATCTTATTCTTATCAAATGGGCATTTATTATTGAGAAATCTTACTCGTAGACTTCGTCCACTCGTGAGATTTCCTTAAAGCCAACAAAGATTCGTGCATATCTAGTTTAAATTATCAAAGAATTACCACCGCTTGTGCAATCACTGTTGATAATTTTTTATACGTTTCACTTCAGAGAATGATCTTCCTCCACTTGCGTTGCAAATGCGTATAGATATATATAGTACGGTACACCTATATAAGGAAGATCTTCAAAAGGGACAAAATAATCTGGAAAGTTTATACATTACACTGTTTTACCACTAACCAAACCAATTTTTTAAAGCCTCGACACGTGTTTCGCTAACTATGTTAGCATCTTCAGGAGAAGATTGAAACTTTATAAGTTTATAATAAATCTGTACATATGGTAACTTTTGGATTGATTCATCTCTATTCTCATTGATTAGGTACAATTTTTTCCTCTTCATTGACAATAAAAATAGTTCATCTTGCATCAAGTCTTTCTCTTTCTTTCTGCAACCTACGGTTTTGAGCACCTGATTTCTTTTTATTTTCGTTCACTGTTGATGTCGAATTTCAAGAATGAAAAGATTTGATTTTTGATTTTCGTTTATAAAGTCGGTGTAGGTTCGCAGTTTTGTACCTCGAGGTTGTCACACATCACACACAGACCACATGTCGCTTATTGAATGTTAAAGTAAAGATTTTGACGTGCATTAAACTTAAACGCAACGCATTGGCGAACGTGTCATGAGAGTAAAGGGGGGCAAATAACTATCTACAAGAAGTGGTGATTGGCGGTTCTATGAATAGTTCCATATATGGATTTCGGGTGCTTCAAAAAATCCTCACAATAGCCAAAGGTGCTTTCATTTTATACAGTTTCTTGAAATTGAACTGAGGAACTTGGGCCTGGTTTGGCGCCTCCATTTATTATTCATTGAATGGAAATAAGATTTAGGAAAAACCTCGGGAAAAACTGAAATGGAAAAATGTATAGGTAATAAAACTGAAATTACTTTTTCATAGCAACTTTTGATTAGATTAGAAACTGGTGATATTTTTTCTTCGGAATTTCGAGATAACATCGATAGTGACTAAAACCCATCAATATCACTTTGTATGTAGGTATAATGATAATATATATGGTTGTATTGAGAATGAAATTGCTTTCAAAATTTGTGAACACATAAGTATATAGGAACATATTTAAAAAAATATAAGTTGATGAATTCAGATAATTTTACGAATACGAATCGAATTTCGAGATAACATTGATAGTGACTAAAACCCATCAACATCACTTTGTAGGTATGCATAATAACATGGTTGTATTGAGAATGAAATTGCTTTCAAAATTTGTGAACACATAATCAGGAACATATTTAAAAAAATGTAAGTTGATGATGATTTTACGAATACGAATCGTCGCACAGAGAAATTAATATAACGTCACGTAATATACGTCAAATCTCATCAAACATCGCTTTCCAATAATAAGGTAGAAGAAAAAATAGATTTTCCATTGATTCGCTGATTTTCTGAGACTAAAAATAATGATGTGCACAATGCGCATCAAAACGACGAATGACGAGCCAATAAATAAGAAAAACCACCAATACCAATAGGTAAAACCGCAACTGTACAGCGCATCACTAATGATCGGTTATCGCGTTCTCCGAAATGACTATCATTAAAATTGAAGCACACACCTGATGCGTCTGCGCGCCGCCACTCTGTCGGTACTGGTGCAGTTGGACCGATGATGCCATCGTCGTACGTCTTCGCTCTGGCTTCGCACACTCGGGAGACAATCTCGACACTTAAACGATGCACTAATAACTGAGTAGGCCGAGATTGCGGCGTCGCTAGGAGACGGAACAGATGACGGCCGGGGGCGTGGTTGCGCAAGGCGGCTGCGCGAGGGACGCGGCTCCGGGTGATGATCCGGGGGGATGCTGGGACGCGCGCCGTTGTTTACCACCTTGGAATAGATCGAAGACACGGGCGTGACAATAAGTTTGATGCAAAGGCGGATTAAATGTCGACAGCACGACAGCGCCTTAGGCATGCATTTCATCGGCGCTCCTCTGGTGGTCACACTGATAAAAATTATTACACTAAGTACTTGAGGCAAATATGGCCCACCGAAACTAGAACATTTTTTTTAGTCCCCTTCTGAATTTTTTAGGGGAATACATTTTACATCAAATTGAATGTTAGGGAACCTGCTCTCATACGTATATGACATAATTACCCAAATAGAAATTTGTGGAAATTATGAATTAAATTGCAGAACCCTGATATTGGGCCATATTATACTATATTCGGCCCATACACTAAACTGCCTTGAAAATTGAGAATAACTTGCCTACGTCACCCATTTATGGCAATCTACAATAGAAAAACACGGGGAATCTCTAGCTGTCGCGTTGGACATATCGAAAGCATTCGACCGTGTTTGGCACGAAGGACTCCTCCACAAACTACCATCATACTGCTTACCACCTCAAATATGCCATCTCTTATCGAGTTTTCTTTCAGGCAGATCGCTTCACGTGGTGGTGGACGGTGTATCGTTTGATATACCATTGGCATCAATTCCGGCGTTCCACAAGGATCAATTTTGGCACCAAAATTATTCGTTCTCCATATCAATGATCTGTTCGGAGTAACAAGTTGCCCTATCCACAGCTTTGCAGATGATAGTACCCTCCATACTGCGTTCTCTTCCAGAATTCCAGGCAGGTCAATGCTGTCAATGAAGATCTTGCTGAAATCACAGCCTGGGGAACAAACAACCTAGTTGAATTCAACGCCACCAAAACTCAAGTCTGCATTTTCTCTAGAAAGGCGGAACTCAGTATGCCCGATATTGTAATGTCTAGCTTCACCATCCCCACCAAGCCCACCATATCTATGCTCGGTACTTCCATCAGCAACACTCTTTCATGGGATAATCATGTCAGATCCATCGCAAAAGCTGCTTCTCAAAAACTCGGATTCTTGTTCCGTGCGAAAAGCTACTTTACACCTCAACAGCTTCTCATGATCTACAAAGCGCAGATACGGCCTGTTCTCGAATACTGTTCCCACATATGGGGTTCAGCACCAAAACATACGCTGATGCTCTTAGATTCCATTCAGAGAAGAGCCATTCGCCTGGTGGGTGACGCCACACTCACTCACTCTTTGACATCATTGGAACACCGTAGAAAGGTCGGCGACCTTTCACTTTTCTATCGATACTTCCACGGGAAATGTTCTTCGGAAATCTCTGCAATCATCCCTTCACTAGCAATACCAATCAGACGAACTAGACGAGCCCAGTCAGCACATCCTTTCGTTGTCAACCTCGAAAGATGTCGAACAGCACTTTATCAAGACTCCTTCATCCATAGAACGGCTAGGCTCTGGAATTCATTGCCTGTGGAAGTATTCCCAACAACATATAATCTCCAAAAGTTAAAAAAAAATTATTCCAATACCTACCTCCTGTTCCTTTCCTCCCTAGGAACGCACGATGTTCTTTGAACATCATAGGGATTCCCTTTCGTGCGCTCCAAGCGATAAAAAAAAAGAAAAAATAAGTCTCAAACTTTTATTAAAGCAAAAAAAGTGGAGGGTATGTATATAGTATTCACAAGAACAAAAAATACAAAAATATTGAAGTAAATAAAGAACATTGAGAACATGCAATAAAATTTATAAAAAGGTATTGTAATTTCTATAGTTAGCAGCATTTGGAAACATACGAAAGTGAGTGAATTAACGGTAACTCAAATAGAAAATACCCATTGAAATTTATAAAAAAATTCATGGGGTTTACAGTCAACAACACTCGAAATCATCATAGTCTTCATGCTCTATCCCAACACATACTTCATGGTACCAAGTGTTACATTTTACACATCTTCTTCTATCCAATATGTCTTCTTTGTGACAACCACAAGACCAAGACTTTTCAATTATTGGTTCAGAAGTAGATCGATCTTTTGAAGTAGACTCAATGCTTGAGAATAGACTTGGCTACTTTGTTTTTCTGCTTCAATATAAATGGAGTAAAGGGCTTTGAAAAAGATGACAAATCACTATTTTTGAAGATCTTTTGTAACCTGTTGGGCCTTGTAATTCAAAGATTTCAGACGAACGGTTGTCTCTTTCTTTTCTGCTTCAGCAGTCGGGAGGATGTCATTAAACGTCTCAATTGTTTTATGTGGAGACAAATTTTACTCATTATGGAAAGCTGAAGCATCGATTAGAAGTCAAAAAATCTATTTTTTCTCAATGAACTCGTTGGTGATGGATAATATGGCCCACTGTCGGGTATTATGGCCCATGGGCCATGCAACCCACCATTGTATTGGCCCATATTGAACGAAATGTATTTCTTGAAAAAGGTTATGTTTAATAAAGAGAGCCGAATTCTAGAACCCATCAACATGGTATGTAAAAATAGCTAACAATATACTTACCTTGAAAATATACAAGCTTGCTGCTATATATAAGATGGGAGGTACGTGGACTGAAACCTAACCCAAATATTACATTAGAGTGAACACCATGCAACGGCTTGTTCTCAACTGGCTACAAATTGCAGAAAACTTGTAGAAGCGGCGTGCGAAATGAACCGTTGGGAGCGTCAGGCATGCGTAAAGAGCCGGCATTGCCAGATTGCTCATAAGTACCCAAGTTTCCTAATGGTCAACATTGGGCCATATTACCCGCTGGGCCATATTTGCCTCCAGTACTTATTTATCGTTGCCAATGTTTTACCACAATAGGTATATAATGTAATTATATTACAATATTGGTCGTGTAAAAAATTACCATAAGTATCATGTATTCTTTCAAACTATTTTTCTAGTAAAATCAATAATCGAGTGAGTATTAGTTCAGAAATGATTATTTTTTTTCACATGAGATTTACTGGAAATAATCACTATACCTACTGTGAAGGTGTAATGTAGAAATGGTACCTTTGTATATTTCACACTATCTGTATAGTATGATTCCTTGGTAAAAATACATCGTAATGTCAGGATGTGATATATTACAATGTTATTTTACAATGTGAAACTACCAATTATCTTGATGGGTCCCGTGAAAAATTCAAAATAGTATTAAAATGTATCTATTATCAGAAAACATAATGAGTTAGTTGAATATTATGATCATATGGTATTTCAGAATTGATGAATTTGTGCATACCTATATACCTATTTCAAAATTGTTTTATTTCGCTATGGTTCTTTCTTCTGTTCTCTTCGATCCAGTTATCCATTCAAATGTAGGTACTTCGAAATTTCGATGGACATCACAAATTTAGAATTGAATATGAAGATACAGCTCCAGAAATGATCCATATTCTTGTTGGTAGATCATTTCTTGTTCCGCAAAAACTAGGAGTATACTTTGTTTTTGTGTATAGCACCCTGAATGAGAAAAAAATCGAAATCAATAGGCATTCAGGCAAAAATCTCTTGTATCAGTATTCGTTTATACAAGTCGATGCATAGATTTCGGGAGGATATAATTCAATGTTCTGTGTGGCATTAGCCAGGAAAGTAGTTGCTTTTCGCCCGAAATCTATACCATTCATTTCATGAACATTGTGCGGAAATGGCTTCGACCTTTTTGTATTTAACATTTCATTCCACTTCGAGCAGTGTGGCGTAGTTTAAACTTATATTCATTTCATTCAGTTTCTTTTTCATTTAATCAGGTAGAAAGGGCCCCATACAAAAAATGGACAGGGCCCGTCCAGGGCAAGCTACGCAACTGTTTACCACTAACCAAACCGATTTTTTGAACGCATCGACACGTACTTCGCTATGTATATGTTAGCATCTTCAAGAGAATATTGAAACTATATATCCTAAATATCCTTTTCTATAGTGATGTGCTTACTCATACCTATAAGTAGTATATAAGTATAGCATATACAAAAATCAACAATTAGAATAACTTCAATTAAAAAAAAAAACATTTTACATCAAGATTGCACATTGTGGTTCAATTGAAAAACCAAAATTGCTGGAGAAAACCCGCAATTCCGCTATTTTGGATTGTTATGTGATGATACCGAAATTCAGAAAAATCCGTTCACGAATGCAGAAGTTACAGGAGTGGCCCGATATCCTGTATCCCCCCATCAGTATATAGGTATTCATTGTCTTTCCGAATAACAGTCAAGTATTATTTTCTGGTCGAAGTGAACTTGACATTTACAATTCGAGTTTTGTTGCCTTCAGGATTTTTTTCAAAAAACTGCCAGAAAAATTTGCTCGTCCCAATATTCAGGGTGTTCCTTAAATGGGTCCAAGAATCGCCCCCTTCAATATTAGCATGTCATTAAGGAACACCCTGTATATACGGACTTTCCAAGGCAATTTTTTTCTCTTAATTTCCAGGCGACAAAATTCTCAATGGAATGTTCGCAAAAAAAACTGTGAAAATAGATCTATGGTATGGTGTGATGGTATGATGAATAACCTCTTTTTTTTATTAAGGTGGATTCATGCAAGCAAAATTTAAAACTTAAATGAATTTTAAACTTAAACCAATAATATAAAACTATGAAATGTAATGTAGGTGCTCATGCAAGAAACTAAAAAATTGAAACTAAAATTGAAACTAAGAAAGATGGCCAACATTCAACTAAGAAATTAATTTCTTCCATAATTCACAACAACGCATGCGCCAAATAATAACTAGCTGCGCTGGAAAAAGAATAAACAGCTGATGAAAGGTTATTGCATGAACACTCATATATTTTTAAATTAAAATTCGTTTTAATCATAAATTCATTATAATTCAGTTGATGTTGCATGAATCCA